TAACTAACTAAAATTATTTTGGAATTAGTTTCTTGTTCTAGTACCGGTAAAAATTTATTGCCGCTTTTTAATATGTTGTCGTAAAGCAGACTTTTAATTTTCATTTTTATTTTTGCAAATAGTTTTTTTTAGATATAACCATTTTTTTCTTTTACTTTGAAGCGACATTACGACGAGACACGTCCCCGGCAAATTTTGACTGCGTAATTATTTTACGCAACCCATTTAAAATGAGAAAGAATTCTTTTTTTTTAGCTTTCCATTAAAAAAAAAAGAACGACACCAAGTTATTTGGCTTTTGCTACGTCAGCTCGTGTAACTTCAAAGCTAAGAAAACTGAAAGATAGAGCGTTTCATTTCTTTTTATCACGATGCCATATTTTAAGATGTTACGCGATTTCATCAACTACGTAAGACTGCATTGAAAGACTTAATGGTCTTTATTCACTGCATGTAATCTCGTTGCACATTTAGCAACAAAGTAGTTGTATTAGTAAAGTGTGTTACGTTCTACTTTTGTTACGTTATCTTTATGCAGGCCAACAAGAAGACGAGAATAAACCCCGATTGATAATATTATTTATTCAAATCCGTGTTTTGTCAGTTGGCGAGTCGGTGTAAGGCATTAGTGTTTTCTCCGAACGTGGACTCTACAATCTGCTGACGATTACGATGTAAGAGGCTTACGCTATGTTCCCTCTCCGGTGGGTACTTATATATCTAGCTTCGAATGATTAAGCATAACAGGCATTCTTTGCCTGTTATATTTAACAATATTTGTTTATATATTTCATTGAATACGACAGACAAGGTGCTTTTATTTAGTTTTTTAATGCAATTTCTCATAATTTTTAATAATTTTTTCTTGTCGGATGATAAATTATATAAAAACTGTTCGTTATGTGTTAAATAAGAAATAGTTTGTTGTGTGTATGTTTTATAAAATGTTTTCACTTTTCAAAATACGGTCAAGATATTATGTCCATGTTCAAAGTTAATATTATTAAGTGTTTTTTATTTTGTTTTTATTAATAAGGCTTCCATTATTTTTTTGCATGGAGCTGATGCTATTATATTAGTGTTGTCGACAAGTATGTTACGAATAATGTCCGGTAGGTCTCCATGAATATTTAAATGAGATCTAATTGAGCTATTGTCAGAAAAGTGTAGAGATATTCTGAGTGTCAAACATGTTGTAGTGTGGCTTATATAATCATTTACGAATTTTGATTGATCAGGAATACATTTCCTTGATGGGCATTTAAATTCGTAAATAATATTTGCCCTATTTATTTTTTAATATAATTTATCATCCGAAAAGAAAAAAATATTAGATCGCATGAGAAATTGTATCAAAAACTAAATAAAAGCACCTTGTCTGTCGTATTCAAACAAAATTCTCATATACACACATATATATATATATATATATATATATATATATATATATATATATATATAATATATATATATATATATATATATATATATATATATATATATATATATATATATATATATAAATATATAAAGTTATATTCTTGAAATATATTGTAACTATTGTTGATGAATAAAACATTTCTCAGTATTGATGTGGTTTTTCACCTACAATTCATAACATACTCTTATACAACAAATGTATTATAATTTTCATTTCAGTGAATAATTATATCTTAATTTCAAGTTTTGATTTGATTTATATTTCAATGGGGACCCCCTGTTATATTATTTCTTTTAATATTGTATATAATTGTATCAATATAAGTATTTTTGTATTAGGGTGTGTAAATATCCAAAGGGACTACCGCTTTTTTAAAAATCAGAAGTGGCTAACGCAGAGTTAAGTTTTGATAGGATGTTTTGGGAAGCAATGATCGGTCAGGTCCTGAAGGGAGACGACGCAAAAAAAAAAGAACTCTTTTGGCAAATTCTTCAACATCGACAGCAGAAAAAATTATCTTAAGACAATTTGTCAGCACTACGGCTACGAAGATTTTTTTTTCTTCGACAACGCTACGTAATAAAATTTTAGAATACTTTTATATCTCTCATTGTAGCAGACAAGAAAAACGGACGCAAGTTTTCTCCGCTTCGGTGATACGGACAAACATAGTCCGCTATTTCATCGTCCGAGCTTTCAACAATTCCATGCCACTTTATTGCAACTGCCACTATCTTTTGCAGCCTAGGTAAATCATTCTTAAGTAAGAATCTAAAAATATCTTTCAAAACTAAACTTTCAAAACTACTGCACATCCTGGGAAACTAAAAAAGCTGAGAAGTCACTTCCACAAAAAAAGATCTGTCCCACGAGCAATTTGCCTGTCGAATTGAGACAAGATTCAACAAGGGTTTCGGTATTGCTTTGAGCTGTGTCACCAATATTATGCGCGCCATTTTAATTTGAATCCCGCATTGCAACTTGGATATAAAATGTAAACTAACAGTTTTTTTTTTCTCCTCAATCCAAGCACTGTGATATTTGGACGAATTTGACATTGATATGAACCTGTCGATAAAAATTTAATCTTTGTTTTACTAAACGTAACATTTAACCCCGTTCCACAATGAAAAAAAAACATTCTCAAATTGTCAACGCCAATCTCCTGAAATGAACTTATGATAATATGCATTTATAAGAAAAATTATCTTCCAAAATATTTTGATTCTGGCTAGAACATCTGTATTTTTTGTTATACAATAATTATATCCCCTGCAGCATCCCAGTGTCTATTTGTAGCGTAAAAATACGACGTTTATTTTTTCTTTATTTTTTTTCATTTTTTCTTACCTTCTAATATTTTATTTGTCTAACAACACTTTTTATTTTTAGCTTAATTTATAATAAGATTAAATGTTAGCTCTATATAGAGTCCAATGTTACTTCCTTGAAACAAAGAGATTACATGTGAAACACCGTTACGAACAACATTACAACAAACGAAAAAATATACAATATATGTTTATATCATTTATTATAATTTTCTTTCAAATACCTGCGTATCAACGCTCAATATTTTGCATTTATACACTAATATTGTATTAAATTTATAATAACCTAGAACTTTGAGTCTATAAGGTTCCTCCCATGAGACACAATAAAAAAAACAACCGTATTAAATAGTACATTTAGCATTTTTACCGGATGATTTGGGTAAGCATGAAACTCTGAGTTGTACTATAAATGTAGGTATATGTATATTTATCAATATATACTTTATAGCACTGTTTAAAAACATTGAACACTATTATTTACACCTTGAATTAAATAAATATTTATTTTATCATCTGTATATGTACGTTATTACACGCATGTATAGTTGCTAATATATCGTTATTCAGTTTACTTTCACATTAATATATATATATATATATATATATATATATATATATATATATATATATATATATATATATATATATAGGTTTAATCCTTTGGTATATAATCCAAGCGAATCCTAATAATATAGAATATTAAAACTAATCCACATAATAAGGAATAAGAACTTTATAAAGTCGTCTGCACACTCTCAATTACTCAAGTTCAATGTGAGGGAGCATTTTCAAAAATAAGCATCCTAAAGACAAGGTTAAGCGTGAGTAGTTTAGTCTTATTTGTACGAACGGTATGTATAAAGTTCTGCCAAGGAAACTGAGAGAGTTCCTTGTTCAGTAGGATGTTTTTTATGATACGCTGTGAACAATACGACACGTGGTTCGAAAGGGGCTAAGAATAAACTTCCAGAACATTAATGCACGGATATTAAGTAAATTTAGATGGTCTAACGTTAGTAATACATGGCTGATATGTAGTTATTAGAAATATGAACCTTTGCACTAGAAAACAATAACAGATTGTCAAAAAGACAGTTTTTCGCTTAACACCGCTATTATTTTAAGTACTTTGCTCCTCAGAAATGTTAATTGTTTTGAAAGCTACCCGAGGAGGATTTTTGGATGCCTATATGTTGCTATCCATTGAAAAGTAATTGTTAAATGAATTGAAACAATTCTTGATAGACACACACTATAATCAGTTGAATTCAAGTTATTCTTCTTAATATAGTGGAATGACTATTGTGCTTTTGAACTATCTGTTAATGCATAAATTTTGCAGTAAACTATTTAAATTATCAACCAATCTTTTTTTTAAATAAATAAAAATGGCTGTCTGATATTTTGAAATCATTTTTGATTTGCTTTGTAACGTGGAGGACTTCAAGCTTGTATGAAGATATAAGAACCTATTGATCTCTGCGTATTCCTATATCAACGGAAGGGGATTTCTTGAACTGTTTATATAAAATAGTTCAATCGACTTTTTTTAATATTTTAATATTTGGAAATCATCTTCGAATACGTTTTCAAAACATCGCCCACGTGACAACGACGTGATCATATTTAAACGGAACGCTGATCTTATATAAAAATTTCAGTTATCTGTTTGGATTAGTTGTGCTCTTATGTCCATCGTCTTTTCATGTTAAATTTTATATGTTCTAATGTTAATTATGTTTAATGAAAATGTCCTGAAGATGGTCTAAAATAGACCGAAACGTCCGACGTTGACTTTATATTAACATTAATACAGCATAATTGCATATTAAGATTTTTGTTTATTTTTTCTGTATATTTTTCTTGATAGATAGATAGATAGATAGATAGATAGATAGATATGAGAATGAGATAGATAGATAGATAGATAGATAGATAGATAGATAGATAGATAGATAGATAGATAGATATGAACATACTTTGCAGGACTTATTCCAGATTGGCATTGACCAAAGCCTCGCTGGAATTTCCAGCCATTTAAATTATCATTGCCAGAGACAGAACGTATAATTCTTGCTACTTCGTTTGTTGAAGGGCCCCATTTGAATTAATACCTCATACACTCTCCGGTGTGAGTCTTCTCAAAATTCATTTTAATATTTTCAAAAAAGAAACAAAATTTGATATTAAGGCTTACGTGTAAAAACTAGTCGTTGAAAAGGCTCGCTTTGAAACCCCGGTTCTTGTACGATCACCGAAGTTAAGCAACGTCGAGCTTGTTCAGTAACTAGATGAGGGACCTCTCGGGAATAGCAGGTGCTGTAAGTTCGGATGTGTGCGTAGTTTAATCGATAACAGTTTGGAATTGGAAATCGGTGTGGAGTAATGGATAGTGGCTCGGATTGAGGAATCGGAGAGCCGAGTTCGAATTCTAGTCGAATCCATTACATTCACTTACGTGCTAACACCCTTGGGAAAGATATGAATACTCTTCTTCTCCCCCCAGCTATGGGTAAATATCAGAAGAGACTTGGTTCTATAGCTTGGGATGACAACAGAAAGAACCGCAGAAAGAAATGGCAACCTACTGCGAGAAAAAAATCTACCGCGTCAGTCATGTATCGAAAGATACATGATCGCCTAAGCATGTATCACGCATGGCACATAACTGACTGACTGACTGAAATTCAATTCCAGTCATGTTCGTTATAATCACTCACGCGCAAGTACCCTCTGGAAATGCATGAGTCGATTACACCCCCCAACTATGGGTTAATTAGTAGCACTTTTATCAGTATATTATTATTATCTTCAAAATATTGTTCGAATCTAAAAATATTGTCTGGTTTTAAATAACCTGAAATGGGTTGATCAGCCATGGAAAAACAAATCTGTTAATCAAGTTGCAATGAAAATAAAATATTCGAATGTCAACATTTCTGCTTATTTTGAGAACTGGAAAAGTACATTTCAAGTGTTCATGCTAAAAATGGAGACAGGACTTTTTTTTTCTAATCTAATATGTAGCAATTACTGAATTTATAGACGAGAGAACGGAATTCAGAGCAATCACACGATTTCGGAGCTGTAAGGGGAACAGGCGAACGTAAATATATAAAGATGATAAATGGTTACAGAAATTAGAACAAGATACAGATTAGATTCGTTTCCATTCACATGAGAGAAAGGAAAAAAGGTATATTATTACAGCTTCCGATGGATTAAACGATTAATAATTATATGATTCAATCAACTACGGCTCATGCCTTCAGCTGCCTTTCAGATAGATAGATAGATAGATAGATAGATAGATAGATAGATAGATAGATAGATATGAAAAGACTGAGATGGATATGAACAGACTGAGATAGATAGATAGATAGATAGATAGATAGATAGATAGATAGATAGACAGACAGATATGAACAGACTGAGATAGAGAGATAGATAATACGAAGAGACTGAGATAGATAGATAGATAGATAGATAGATAGATAGATAGATAGATAGATAGATAACAAAAGACAAGTATAGATAGATAGTTAGGAAAAAATAGGTACAGCTTGCTCGCGTATGAATTTTAAGAGGCGTTTCTAGAAAAATCACTTCGTCTGTTAGATTCTTTGTCGCTACAGTAAATGGAAACGGACACACAGACAAATGCATATGACTCGACTAATCTTTGGTTGCCAGCGAAATAATTCAAACCACAGTGTACCATCTCACAAGTAGGATGAGATAGGCAACTATTTGACGTTTGAGCTGGGCATCAAAACTTACAGGGTTTTGATATTAATGCGCGGCTTATATGAAATGTCTTGTCATAATTGCTTTCTTTTTTTCATGGCATTCCATGGGTAAATACATCCGATGTTTTCTATGGGCATGAATGAAAAATATTTTCCCGGAAAATATCTAATCTTATATTCGTTGTCTTCTCCTCCTCTCTCATTTTCTTTCTTTCTTTCTTTCTTTCTTTCTTTCTTTCTTTCTTTCACTCTTACTATCTATCGATTTATCTATCACATAACACATATGGACTAAATCAGATTATTAATAGATAGATAGATAGAGAGAGAGAGAGAGAGAGAGAGAGAAAGATTAACTTATTCAGATACAAAGGAATATACTAAAGATAGATAGATAGATAGATAGATAGATAGATAGATAGATAGATAATGAATAGACTGAGATAAATAGATAATGAATAGACTGAGATAGATAGATAGATAGATAGATAGATAGATAGATAGATAGATAGATAGATTATGAATAGACTTAGATAGATAGATAGATAGATAGATAGATAGATAGATAGATAGATAGATAGATAGATAGATAGATAACGAATAGACTGAGATAAATAGATAATGAATAGACTGAGATAGATAGATAGATAGATAGATAGATAGATAGATAGATAGATAGATATGACTAGAATATAGCACATGACGAATACGCCTAACAATTTCACCTATAGCGGACCTATTTTTGGAACAATCGTTTTGGTTGACTGGATCAAATGCGATTGACCAGTCAGCATTTTACCTCCGGTCTTGAAGAGCATTGACAAGCATAATGACAGCTGTCAGTAGATTTCTTTTGCGCTGAAAAGACATAGTCACTGAAGTAGGACAAAAGAAGAAAAAAACGGTCTTTTTTTTTATGGGACACGAAGGAGACCAAGATTGCCATAGAGGCCATCAGTGATTGTTCACGAAGAAACAAAAAATGTAGATCAGGAAAAGAGAAAAATGGCTAAAAGAATAAAAAGAGGAATGAAAGTCTCAATACACTTGCGAAAAGTCCGAACGAAAAGAGAGAAGGCATTTATATTGATTCGTAACTAGTGTGTTACAATATGGCCGTCCATGTACTAGTGTAGTATACATACATGAACTGTACTGACTCATGAATTCTTGTCTCAATGGCATCGAGGTAATCTGTTGCTTATTGCTAGATTGTCACCAATATCATACATGCAAAGATCGAATGGAAGAAAGCGAGATAAGCAGACCATGGTGCGCCGATTAGTGAAATGGGGAGAGCCATGGTGCTCCGAACACTTTTACCGAGCATTAAGCAAGAACCACTATTGCTGAGGTGAGGGGAAAATGAATAATATCGTTCAGGTAAGAGGCATCTGTCTAAATCTTCTCATATTTATGGAGCTACATAGCCTTAACAGTCTCTTCGAATATGAGAAATAGTAGATCTATCTATCTATCTATCTATCTATCTATCTATCTATCTATCTATGACTGTTCATATCTATCTATCTATGACTGTTCATATCTATCTATCTATCTATCTATCTATCTATCTATCTATCTATCTGTGACTGTTCATATCTATCTATCTATATATATATATATTTATGATTGTTCATATCTATCTATCACTGTTCATATCTATCTATCTATCTATCTATCTATCTAAGTCTGTTCATATCTATCTATCTATCTATCTATCTAAGTCTGTTCATATCTATCTATTTATTTATCTTAATCAGTTCATATCTATGTCAATCATCCTGTTTCTATCTATCTATCTATCTATCTATCTATCTATCTATCTATCTATCTATCTATGACTGTTCATATCTATCTACCTATCTATCGGTGACTGTTCATATCTATCTATCTATCTATCTATCTATGATTGTTCATATCTATCTATCACTCTTCATATCTATCTATGTATGTATCTATCTATCTATGACTGTTTATAGCTGTCTATATATCTATCTGTGACTGCCTATCTAAATCTGTTCATATCTATCTATTTCTCTATCTTACTCGGTTCATATCTATGTCAATCATCCTGTTTCTCTCTATCTATCTATCAATCTATCTATCTATCTATCTATCTTACCCTATACATATTCTCATACTGTTTACATCTATCTATCTATGATTGTTTATAAGGAATCTAACTATATATGGCTATTCATATCTATCTATCGCTGCCTGTTTATATCTATCTATCTATCTATCTATCTATCTATATATATATATATATATATATATATATATATATATATATATAGGTCTGTTCATATCTATCTATTTAGCTATCATATTTGTCTCTTTCACCCTGTTATCTATCTTGGTCTCTTCATATCTATCTATACATTTATCTATTTATGACAGATTCTACATGCAGATACACACACACATTTATATATATATATATATATATATATATATATATATATATATATATATATATATATATATATATATGTCGTAAAGTATGTATAATAAAATAGATTGTTCACGTATACTTCGCATAATATGTACGTATAGTAGATCGATGGAAGAAATCCGATTGATAAAAAAACAACTTTTTCCACTTTATTTAATTATTTATAATCCTTTATCTGACTTAATTTATTCATTTATTTTTTAACTTATTTTATTAATTTATTTATTTAATGTTATTTTTTATTTCTATCGTTTCTTTAGTGTTTAAAGTAATGGGTTATTGGTTGTTAATCTTTGGAGTCATGATGTCGTTGTAAATAATATATGTAGATATAGACATTTTTTTACTCAAAAGTTTCACAAATAACGACCTATGAAATTTGCCCCCCCCTCTCCACCAAACGCAGCGGATCTTTCCTTTATGGATTTTCATGTTTTTCACGAAGTAACTCGGAGAAATTGAAGACTTCCGAAGATGAAATGCTACTGAATTCTATAAAAACGGAATATTTACTTTAGCGTTCCTTTGATAAACGGTGACTAATGTTAATGATACATATTTTAATTAAAAGAACATTCAATATTATTTAAAAACTGTTTTTTGATCTAATTTCCCATAAAAATCTCACTTTTCTTTTGATGCCATACAATATTTCAATTATGTACAATTCAGTTCATACTTTACAGAAGACTGGATAGCGCCAAACATGATGTGATGGAAAAATGCACACTTTACTAAAGGAGATCTTGACGGCAAATAAAACGATAAGCGTAAATCACCTAAATTTAGCATATCATTATGCTAAATCGATCAAATAATATTAACAATCAATCTAACAAAGCGATTGGTTATCGATTATTGTTAAATTTTGTATTCTAAGTTCAATGCCCACTATGATTTTGTTGGTGCAGGATCGATTTACTGAGTCTACGAGGAGACGGATGTGTCTAATTAGAGCAAAGCATCATGTCAGATATAAGGACATTCCATGCGTCAAGAAGAAGAAGAAGAAGAAGAAGAAGAAGAAGAAGAAGAAGAAGAAATCGACGGAAATTGTACTCGTGGACATCGTATGGTTATTTTTATCAAACTAATAAAAAGCGTGAAAAAAATTCACG